GAAGAAATTTCACTTATTTCTTGGTAAATTTTCTTGAATTTTCATGAGTTTTTACATATAATTTACATTTTTTCCATTGGTTTCATTAAAAGTACAAGAATATTATAAAAACTTACTTGAATCTGGTATTTTTAGTCACATAATTTGTAACACTTCTATATACAGTAAATTTACAGTCCGACATGAAATTTTACTCCTTTGTTAGTGATATCGCAGTATTTCAGTAAAGTGGAGTGTGCGCAATAGAGAATTTCATGATCCTAGTATGCTGTGCGCGCCGTAAATTTACTATTTTAAAGGAAATGTTACAATATATCATGTATTTTTAACATCAGACAGTAAACTGAAAAAATATTTAACGGAAACATTTTATTTGAATGGTAATTTTAACGTTTTGAAGTAAAATTACAAATCACTTCGTATTTTAACAACGTAATTCGAAGGTTAAAAATGACCATCAACCTAACCACGAAACAAGAAGAAGGTGAAGACAAAACGCGTGCGCCTTAAGTGTGGTGCAGAAATTAAAGTTACTCGAGAAATTGGAACAAGGCATCTCAGTGACAGATGTTTGTAAAATTTCTGGCATACACCCACAGACTGTCTCGAATATGAGGAAATCAAAACCCAAATTACAAAAGATTTTTTTAACACACAATATTAATAGCTTTAAATTATATGCTTCTACAATAGGGAATAAAATACGTATGAATTTCGGGCCAAATAAAAATTTAGATAAAGCTCTGTATAAGTGGTACAGTCAACAGAGATCCAGTGGTATTAATGTTCGAAATCCTCAGTTGAAATCTAAGTTTGAGGCTCTTGTAACACGTATGAGACTCAGTATCAAGGGTACTAAACAGTGGCTGCTACGTTTTCAAAAGAGACATGGCATTATTATTACATTGAGCGAGAAACTCTGTAGTGAACCTTCAGAGTCAGAAAAGAAAAACAGTAACGAAGACCCACTTCTTCCAGAAGAATGTATAAAAGTTAAGAATTTGCCTTCACCCTCAGCTTCATCCCCAATTGCTTCTACACGTCACAACATTTCGGAACAATTTGTAAAAATTAAGAATTTGCCTTTTTCGTCATCTTTACCTCCAACTACTTCTGACCGTTTACTCGTATGTTATTTCATTAGTTTGGATTGGATTATTTGAAGTAGGAAAATATTACATTCACATTGTTTAAATTCACAAACTAAAATATAAATATTTGTGGGTTACCACTACATAACGCAATTCTTATAGTAATATCTTTTATGTCTATCATTGTGCACATTTCATTGTGCATTATACTTAAATTCTCTCCTTTCTCCCTTCTAATATTCGATATTAATTCTTATTCCTAATATTGTCTCTATTGCGTGCCGCCCCTTAAGCCTTAATTGGTTTTAGGGATTTTTGAACAAACTGGACCAATAAAAACAGGGTACATGTGTATGCACCTTAAGTGTCGATACGTGTGCGGGTCATATCACATTTGTTTTGGGTAGCGTGGAATATACATGTTTTGTTTCGATTTTAGTCTGCCTCAGTTTTCATGTTGTACACAGAGTTTTTCTGCGATTTCTAAATTGTAAGTTATTTCCTAAATAATTTTTATTATAAAATAATAAGGTGAAGAGAAAACGCGTGTTGTTGAGTGTGGCGCAGAAATTAAAGCTAATCGAGAAGTTAGAACAAGGCATCTCAGTGACGGATGTTTCTAAAATTTATGGTGTACACTCCAAAACTGTCTTGGATATCAGGAAATCAAAGCCCAAATTACAAAAGTTTTCTTTAACACACAATATTAATACCTTTAAATTACATGCTTCTACAATAGGGAATAAAAGGCGAATGAATTGTGGGTCACATGAAAATTTAGATAAAGCTCTGTATAAGTGGTATAGTCAACAAAGATCCAGTGGTATTAATGTACAACAGCTCCAGTTGAGATCGGAATTTAATGCTCTTGTAACACGTATGAGACTCAGTATCAAGAGTACTTCTGGATGGCTGGCGAATTTTAAAAAGAGACATGGCATTATAATTTCTTTGAGCGAGGAACCTTGTAGTAAACCTTCAGGGTCAGAAAAGAAAGACAGTAACGAAGACCAACTTACAGAATAATCTATAATATAAAAGTTGAGAATTTGCCTCCACAGTCATTTTTACCTGCAACTGCTTCTACACGTCACAACATTTCTGAATTAAATGCTTCTACAATAAGGAATAAAGAGCATTGGAGAAACGCAAATTTAGATAAAGCTCTGTATAAGTGGTATAATCAACAAAGATCCAGTGGTATTAATGTACAACCAGCTCCAGTTGAGATCGGAATTTAATGCTCTTGTAACACGTATGAGACTCAGTATCAAGTGTACTTATGGATGGCTGGTGAATTTTAAAAAGAGACATGGCATTATAGTTTCTTTGAGCGAGGAACCTTGTAGTGAACCTTCAGGGTCAGAAAAGGAAAACAGTAACGAAGACCAACTTATTCCAGAAGAATCTATAAAAGTTGAGAATTTCTTCACCTCAAACCCCTACACCTACCAAAACTTTCGGAGAATCTGTAAAAGTTGAGAATTCCTCTTCGGAATCATGTTCATCTCCGACTGATGTTTATCAGAATTACGTTTGGTCAGAATATGATATTAAATCTGAAGGTTCCCTCTCACCTTGAGATGATAAATCCTCAGATGACAAATAATGACTCGCTATCACTATAGTTACAGCAAAAGTGTCTCTCTTCGACTACTTTGTTAATGAACAAAGAATATTTATAATGATATAATTTAACAATTTTATATTGTATAGTCCTGTGTATCATATTGAAGCAATTTTATATTAAACGCATTAATAAAAGATAAAAGTGGCATTTTATAACATTATATACAAGAAATACATGAAGATGTGTTATCAGTTTCTAATCGTTTACTCGTATGTTATTTCATTACTGTGGATTGGATTATTTGAAATAGGAAAATATTAAATTCACATTGCTTAAATTTACAAGCTGAAATATAAATATTCGTGGGCTACGACTATATAACGCAATACTTATAACAATATATTTTATTTCTTGTATTGTTCATTATACTTAATTTCTCTTTTTTCTTCCTTCTAATATTCAATATTAATTCTTATTCCTAATATTGTCTCTATTGCGTGTCGGCCCTTAAGCCTTAATTGATTTGTTTTAGGGATTTTTAAATGAACCTAACAAATAAAAACAGGGTATATATGTATGAACTTTAAGTTCCAATACGTGCGAGTTATATCACATTTGTTTTAGGTATCGTGGAATAAACTCGTTGTGTTTCGATTTTAGTCTGTCTCAAAGTCTTCATGTTGTATACGGAGTAATTCTGAATATACAGTCCGACATGGAATTTTACTCTTTTGTTAGTGATATCGCAGTATTCAGTAAAGTGCGCAATAGAGAATTTCATGATCCTAGTATGCTGTGCGCGCCGTAAATTTACTATTTTAAAGGGAATGTTACAATATATCATGTATTTTTAACATCAAACTGTAAACTGAAAAAATATTTAACGGAAACTTAATTTTATTTGAATGGTAATTTTAACGTTTTGAAGTAAAATTACAAATCACTTCGTATTTTAACAGCCGAAAAAGTTTTTCTGGTGGTAAGAGAATAATACACCATTTTGCATGTCTGCCGAGTCCGGCCTTAAGCTCCTCCGTGCACTTATTGGCTCAGACGTTTTTCTTCATTACGCGATAATAATTACGGATTTTGTAAAATGGTATATAACTTTTCTTCTCAGTTTGACCCAATCTACTATAATCTTTGGAGTGGTCCAAATCGAATCCGACATCCTGTATATGTATACTATAAACATAGTATAACTAATAGGTCCGCTCTCTGCGAATCCTTTTGATCTTTACGGTCCCGATCATGTGGTATTCCGCCATACACCTGGGCAGGAATCCACACATACAACTTTTCTCTAAATGGTCTGCCCAGAGCAATGTCGAACGCAAAATGAAACAAATGACAGATTGGACGCACTAGTTATACTATGGTATAAATACAACTTCATTGGTAAACACAATAATGTAATAGGTCGTTCGCTACGAAAGTACAAAAATAAGTAATTATCGTGGGCGGCGGGGGAAGAGATGTGTGCGTGAGGAATATGCGTCCGTTTTGTTCGCTCGGCGTACAGAAAGAAAGAGAATGAGTGAGAGAGGAAAAAGCGCTATACCTCTGTAAGGACGTAAAACGTAAGCATAAGAAAATCGACCAATCACAGTCGAGAACGTAAGGCAATAACGCAAGCAGTAGCAAATCCAATCTGTTGATTTTCTTACGCTTACGTTTTACGTCCTTACGGAATTTTATGTGTGAAGGCCTTTAGTCTCCCTTGGTCCGTGATCGCGCGGAAATGTGCGTTATCTCTACCGCACCGCCGGGTTAACGATCCCGCGAGCCTTCTTACTTGTTATATACCCTAAACTTGCGCCTCGCATACACATACACACAGCACTAATATTCTAAATGAATTTTACTTCTGAAAAATGATATGTATCGCGTATGATGCAAAAAATTTTGTATGTAATTTTTATTGTATCTCTTTCTGTATTTTTTACATAAAAATTCTTTTGATTTTATTACTAATTTATTAAACACCTTCCTTTATTTAAGTTATGTTTTCCGTAGACCTGTTGAACGCTTCACGTCACTTTCGCGCAAACGCATTCGTGCGACTTAGAATTAGGAAAATAATGTAAACAAGGAAAAAGCTCTTGACATGTTGAACGAACTTGTTAATATATTTGCATTGTGAATGCGAACACATTGCAATTTGCAGCAGTAAAATCGACTCTTCTTTTGTCTTTTTTAAAACTATTTCTTACCGGAGGAATCAAACTCAAGAATTGTATCTAAGTATCTGATCTACCTAGCACTTCTGGTTCTATTTTCTCAATTGGATGTGGATGCAATATCCGCAATGCGAAAACAAAATTAATTACTCACCATAGCAACGGGAACCCCGAGACTCGCATGGAGGTAATCCTTCAACATCCGCGTGAATGGTACCTTTTTGGGATTTATGGCGTTCGTGCGAAATACATCGTTCAGAAGACATATCAAGAAGAATATTGTTTGCAGAATCTAGAACATAGGTGAGTTTTTCAAAGTTATTAAAACATTTCAAAGTTTTAATTAACAAGTCAATATAATAGATGACATTTCAAAGTTTTAATTAACAAATAAATCAATATTTTTAACAACTACCACACTGAGAGACCCATTTTGTCGAATGAAACGAAATAATTTGATTGAATCATTTTGTTGACTGAACGTGTAATTTAGTTGTATAAAACGAAAAATATGTTGCTGAAAAGAAGTTAAATGTTACAACTAAATATTTTGTTTCCATGAGTTCTTTATTTGAACAAAACTTTGTGGTTGAGATAACAAATTCGTCCATCTCAAAGTACGGTATTCCGCCACTAGGCGCCGCCGAACTCGTAAGTGAGATCACGATAGCCCGGCTATACATATATAAGGTACCCCGTCACGGACCAGGATGGTTCTTTCGGTTCTTTCGTTACAATCAGCAGAATAAGCGAAACTGCACTGAAAGATCCATTTTGTTAAATAAAACGAAACAATTTAATTAAATCATTTTGAAAAATATTCCCTCTTTGAATTATCACTGGCGACAATAAGATTCGTAAATTTCAATACATCCTAGATTACTTACCGTGTTAACTTGCCATTGTCGCCATTAATGCGATTCTGAATAGCATGTGTTTCCTCCTCGTTTGCAGTCTCCTCAAACACGAGGCTGAAGAGCCTCCTGTAAGACTGAGCAAGCATAAGCTCATTGCGCATGTATTCGCAAAGCGGAAGACTCTTAATAAGGCCGATCGTTTATCCATAAGTTTTCACAATACCCACGCGGATCCGGTTGGGCTGAACTTTGATCTTAATTCCGAGGTGTCGCAAGACTTCAGCACCACCTGGGCGGACGCTTTACCCAAATTAGTAATGCGAAGGGGTGCACTGGTCGGTGGTACCACAGGATCTGTGTCTAGTAATAGACGAAACTCGGTGGACTCTGAGATTAGTTATCGCTTTCGATGCGTTTCCATGGAATCTAGACGAAACTCTCTGGACTCGCAGATATCCGTGCAGATTGCACAGATGAAGACGACACAAAAGGTCGCAAGCTGGTCGCGCGGTCGTCATGGGAAGAACAGAAGGGACTTCGAGAAGTCCCGATCAGCCAAAATCAATCCGCTCTCTAGGAGAGGCAGCACCACTTCTCAAGACAGTCACTAATGGCTCAAGTTCCAATTCAGATGCCCAATGTGGGCAGAAGACTGGACGCTGGATTGGACGAACGAGCCTTAAAAATTATCGACACTAAACACACGGGCATGCTGCTGCCATTTTTGTTGAGAGGACAAAGCGGCAGCGACGAAAATTTAAGTAGTGAGGAGAAGAAAAGTCAAGATATGGTTGATAAGGACGTCGACCTGGAAGCATGCAATATGGAAAAGGAAGATGAACAGGATAGTGACAGCGAGAACAGTCAGTCAGAGGATGAAGTAACAAGGGTAGATCCTGAGAACGCGCACGAGCGTAATAAAAACAACTCGTGTACTCGCGTAAACTTACACAGTCGGTCTCGCACGCGTGTACTAGCTACGCTTACACTTGGCGCGAGACACTACCGTGTCTCGTGATAAAGAGTATAGCAATAAGAACTGTAAGACTTATAATCATGAAAGTTCTAGAAGAAATCGCGAGAATGGTCATAGGGGCAAGTACATTTTAGAGGACGAAACTATCTTCAAGCATCTGCTTCAGGAGGCTAACGACATCGAGGCGAAGAACGACAATGAGAAAAAAAAGGCGTATAGGAAAGCCTCTTGTGATGAGTGATTTGGATTCTAGTCTTACCTCGTGTTATCCAGAATTAACGAGATTGCTGCAAGGTGACGGACAAACTAACGCTAGGGAAATGGCGACGCAGATCTCGCTGTCGCTCGATATATTGAAGATGGAAGAGTTAAAGCAGAGTATCGACGAGATAATTAATAACAGGCATTGTAGTTCTAAGGAGACTCAAATATCGCCGCAAGTGAACAAAAGTAACAATATCACGACACAAGACTGAGAACTACACAGTGTATTCAAAAAGTTCTAGGGCTCCCGCTCGTAAAAAAGTACAAATGGCGTTACCTCCGCGAAACCGGTAGGATAATCTAGCAACGACCTTCAGTCACGTATATCAAGGGTTGCATTCATTTCCGAGTAGTAGTTCCGACTTGTCAGCGTTTATTTGCGTAACAAGCGTAAAAAAAGCCGTACAAGATCAATTTAAATTTAATGAAACGAACGCTACTTGTTTAAAATGCAACAAAAATATATAATTAAATAAAAAACGACGCAATGCTAACGTGTATAAGCATTTTAGACATTGCCGGTAACTAACAGAAATGAATTACAACCTAATAAAAAATTTTTTATTCATCAGTAGTATAAATATATAGAATTATATAAAATTATGGGTCAAACATTTTCATACAAAACAATTGTCATGTTTTTTTAGTTTTGTCTATATTTATTTTTCCTATAAATACACCATTATGAAATATGCATCACGACCAAATAGCAGGTTTCGTTGAGTATATATTTCTTTACATTTTTTCATTTTTCAAAAGCGGCTTAACAGACAACAAAAATTCCAATCAAATATCAAGAAAGTTATACGAGACCAGTTTGAATTTTATAAAACGTATGGTATTTGCTTAAAATGTAAAAATACAATAAAATTAAGTAAAAAACGACGTAATGCCAATGTGTATCAGCATTGTAGATATTGCCGGTAACACAAACGAATTATAAAACCCAATAAAACATTTTTTAATGATTTTGCAATTGTAAATTGGCAATCTATATCAACTAACAAAGAATTAAGCTGTAAAATTTATCAGTTTGTTGTTTGAAAGCGCATCTTAATATTCACATTCCACCAAAGGATCATATATATATTGTTTTTTACCTTCTATGTTCAATTTTACAACTGTTCTTTATAGTAATTTCAGCTAGCAATATATATAATACATATATTTTAGGTATATTTTATATATATTTTACATATATAAAAGTAAGCGATATATTGTTAAGCTTATATATAAGTCGAATATTTACGGCTAGTACAAATGTCTCTATTGAAAAGTATTATCTATAAGCTGTGTCTCTTTGTATTATTGTATTTTATATACATTTTGTAATAAGTATTAATATATTTATACAGTACTCAATTTTACGTATCGCATTTTTCAAATAGTTATCACATTAGCATAATTGTTCTCACAATATTTTTAAATGTCTCTAAAATTTCACTGTTACAATATGTATGTGTGCAATACGAAAATGTATATTACTTTCTTTCCCAAAGTATTAAGGTTCATCAATTGCATCGGCGTATATTATATCTTTCTTTACCGAGAAAAATCAGAGATAAAATTATCGTCGTTTACATTTTTATTGCAGTATATCGAACTATTTTAGCGAGACACATTCTGTAAACAATGTATTGTAATATATAATATAATTCTTTCTGGTGTGACGTACACACGTTGCAATTTAAACTTACATTCTGGCAGGAAACAGATATCAAGAGTCTCTATCCACAATTGAACATATTTATAAATAAAGCTTCTAGGAAAATATATGTTACGACAATCGGTATCGATTCTTAGGCCATACGTATTATTAAGTTACTCGCTGAATTAAACTGTACCAATATAATTTCTACGTATATAATCGTATGCTTTTGTCTCAACGTCGCAGTTAAAATCTTCCTCTCGTAGTTAAAAATTTCCTTCCGCAAACGTACTAGAGGTTTCGCCAAGGCACTTCTCACTTGAAGCAAGAAAATGTCCCCGGCAACGTTATCCCCGGATGATCGGTACATTACGATCGGTACATTTATGATTCCCTCTTGTCCGTCTGCCGTTTCTACGTTTTCAAATCTGGCTCCACGCTCTCCGTTACCGCTACGTACTTTTTTCCTACACTCGATCACACAAATATATCTGGACTTTAGTTCGGGAAAATTGTCCCTCACTTGTACGCTACATCGTACATTCATTTGCATATGTATAAATATATATATATATATATATCACGAGACACGGTAGTGTCTCGCTATATATATTACACACGTATTTTCTACGTGCACCGTATATATACTATAAACATAGTATAACTAATAGGTTCGCTCTCTGTGGGCCCCTTTGATCTTTACGGTCCCGATCACTTGGTATTCCGCCATACACCCGGGCAGGAAGCCATACATACAACTTTTCTCTAATTGGTCTGCCCAGAGCAATGTCGAATACGAAACAAATGACAGAGTGGACCCACTAGTTATACTATGCTATAAATACAACTTTATTGGTAAAAACAATAATGCAATAGGTCGTTGGCTACGAAAGTACAAAAATAAGTAATTATCGTGGGGGGGAAGGGCCGTGTGCGTGGAGAATATGCGTCCGTTCTGTTCGCTCGGCGCACAGGAAGAAAGAGAAAATGAGTGAGAGAGGAAAAAAACACTATACCCACGGATTAGTCTCCCTTGGTCCGTGATCACGCGAAAATGCGTTGCACCTTTGCATGCTGCTCCTGCTCATCCTGCGTGTTATCTCCACCGCGCCGCCGGGTTAACGATTGCGCGAGCCTCCTTACTTATTATTATATATATCCTAAACTTGCGCCTCGCATGCACATACACACAGCACTAATATTCTAAATGACATTTACTTCTGAAAAATGATATACATTTTGCATGCTACAACGGAGGGTGGTAGAAAAGATCCATGTTTTTTTTTATTCACCAACACCGCAGGCAGCAGGCAGACGCAGTTTTGCTTTTCGTATCACCCGTTAGGAACGCTTGGGCGAGGCTACTTGGATTTGGCGTGAGATTTTTTATGCTTTGTGTATTCGTTACCCCAGATGATGTTATTCATCGTCTCGCCGACAAAGTATAGAATCGTGCAGAACGTCAGCAGCACGGCGAAGAACACGACCCGTAGCGGCTGTGTTAATACGTCCATCACGGGGTATACCCAGACTCCGCTTTTATAGTAGATTACATGTATCCTGAAATGGAAAAACGATGTTAACGCTCTGCGAGCCTGGTGCCATCGGCCCTGGTCCTCGTCAGCATTGTTTAACTTTGTTGTTAGCTTAATTCATCCTTTGTCCCCTTCTAAGGGGACAGTTAGAAAGAGATGAAGGATAAATCAATCCTAGGAGCACAATATATTGGCGCAATATTGGGAAATAATGTAAATCTAGGATTCCCAATATTTGTCCAATATTGTAAGATGGACGCCTTCTCTTATTTAGCCAATGTTGGTTTAATATTGTATCAATTAGACCAATATTCTTATTACATTGTTAAATATTGGCCAATACACTTTCAATATAAATCCAATATTATATAATTATTATCGTGCAATATTTATATTTCTTCTATGGCCAATATTGGCTTTACGTTGGACAATATCGGCCAATACATTTCTAATATAATCAACATTGGACCAACGTTTAGCTAATACATTGTCCTACTAGGGAAACTATAATGAGATCAAAGTTAAACGACGCTTGTGAAAACGGGAGTGCAAGCTCTCTAAAAGTCAATCAGTGAATCGTCTCTGAAAACAGTGAATAATCACTGAATTGCAGTTATAAGTATACTACTGAAAATTGTAGTGGTATACTTATAACTGTGAATCAGTGACTATTCACTGTTTTCTGTGATAACCCACTGGACCTTAGAGAGAAGTTTAGTTTCTTTCCTCTTCCTCATTGAGAGTCCCCCTGCAATTTTTCTCCCGAAGCAATTAGCCAAAATTCCATTTTTGACGGTTGCAAACCCCAGGTAGAATATAAAACCATACAGCACGCATCTCTAAAAGACATCTTTAAGATGTCTTTAAGACATACATATCTAAAAGACGACTTAAAGATGTCTTAAGGCCAGTGTCCACGATGTTAGAACTTTGTCCATGTTCTAGTTCCGAGACATGTGTAGCCAATCAACTTTTAGCTATTCCATAAAAGCTTGGTCCAAGCAATTCCAGCATCGTAGACACAGACCTTTAGACATACATGTTTGGAAAAACTCACAATGACGTCATCGTGACATTACTCATCGTTGAAAAGTTGTACTAACTTTACTTCAATGTCACTTTAATGTAATCATGACCTCTTGTTCTACCCCCGGGTTACCGGACTGTATAACACTTCCCGCTCGTTCTGCAAACTTTTGTATTACGTAAACGCTGCCGACGCGCTCGTTCATCCCTTCGTTAACATCTCGTTATTGCAACGAAGAAGAGCGTGAATACCCGTTTTCACTTACCAGACTAAATACGCAAGCATGAAGCTGGTGAGTATTCCGAGGCCGCGAGATCGCTTGGGATACTGCCGTGGCGCGACGATCATCTCTAACATGGTCGTCACCATGATCATCGTGTGCATCAAATGGTTCAGCCACCATGGGAAGTACGGGTCCAGCGCTTTCGGCAACACTAGTTCACGGTCCACGAACATCAGCGCCCAGAAGGTCACGCCGACGAACTGTAAGGCAATAGAATCGGCATTACGTTTGCATTACGACTCAGCATTTATTGTTATAAAAGGTATCCTCGCAAATGGAAAATGTAGCATATGTAAAACAAAGTCTCCTATTATCCATCATGAATTTATTGCCGTTGGAGAGAAATCTTTGTTTAATGGAAAATTCATTGTTAGTTCGTGTAGGGTAAGGTGACCGAATTCAGATCAGATACCAAATGCAGATCAAATTTTTACGGAACGCTAATAAGCGACATTTTAAAGTAATTCACTTAAATTTTGCTCTCTTATATGTATATTCATAACTTTATGCTATATTGTCGATATCATAAAAGACATCGACGTGTTTTTATGTTGCTTTTTAGAGCCAATAAATGAGATAGATCAAAATTATATAAAAGCTCTTATTTCAAAATATCACGAAGGAGTAAGTTTACATATAAATATTTATTTCTCCATATAGCTGCCGTAAGCGTTGAAACATTTATCTCAGCGAATCTAAACGTTCCTTCATTTGATAATTTTCTTTCCAAGATTTATAAAATTCTTCAAGATTCGATATTTCCTCGTTCTCGGATTCGTTTCCTGATAAAATGTTCTTAAAAGTGATGGAAATTTGAATTTGAGGCTAGATCGGGACTGTGCGTGTGCAAGAATGTAAAGTATTGCAAGATAAGTTTTTCTGACAAGAATTTTTATCGGTAAAAAACTTGAAGATAAAAATATTAATTAAAAGCCATTTCTATTCGAATTCTACGGTGTTTCGTAAACTTTAAACGAAGAAAAAATGTGAAGGAATGTTTAAAGTTATAAAAAAAACTGGGACAGTTTAGATTATGTAAAAAAATTTTGTATATAGTTTTTATTGTATCTCTCTCTCTCTGCATTTTTAAATAAAAATTCTTTTAATTTTATCACTAATTTATTAGACAATTCTCCTTTATTTAAGTTATGTTATCCGTAGACCTTGAACGCAAGACACGTGTCTCTTTCGCACAAACACATTTGTGCGACAGAATTGGGAAAATAATGTAAGCAAGGAAAAAGTCGCTCTTGACATGTTGAACGAACTTGTTAATATATTTGAATTGCGAATGCGAACACATTGTGCAATTTGCAGCAGTAAAATCGACTCTTCTTTTGTCTTTTTTAAAACTATTTCTTACCGGAGGAATCAAACTCAAGAATTGTATCTAAGGAAGTATCTGAGCTACCTAGCACTTCTCGTTCTCTTTTCTCAATTCGATGTGGATGCAATATTCACAATGCGAAAACAAAATTAATTACTCACCATAGCAATGGGAAACCCGAGACTCGCATGAAAGTAGTCCTTCAACTTCCGCGTGAATGGCACCTTTTTGGGATTTATGGCGTTCGTGCCGAATACATCGTTCAGGAGACATATCAAGAAGAATATTGTTTGCAGAATCTAAAACATAGGTGAGTTTTTCATAGTTATTAAAACATTTCAAAGTTTTAATTAACAAGTAAATCAGTATTTTTAACAACTGTCACAGTAACTGTAAATATCGTTTAAAGGTAACTATGGATCTAACTACTCTAATTAATATTATCGCTATGTATTACCACTCAGGACTGCTTTATAATTAATGTAATAACAAATGTGCTATTAATTGCGAATTAAAATTTCAGAGAAGACCTGACCGAACAATGTGGTTTTTTTTAAACAAACGTTTACAAAATGAGCGATTTTTCATTTACCGCACTTTATTTACTATTTAAAAATTAAATAATAGTATGAAAAAATATTCATTTCAAATAGTGTATATAAAGTTTACAATATAACTAAAAAACATAATCCCTTAATCTAAAAAACAAACCCCCAAACAACACATATGTCTAAAAGACGACTTAAATACGTC